TCGTTTGTTCAAGCCCTGAGTGAAGGCATTTACCGCCCAGTCATTGAAGACTGGTGGTAATTCCATTCTCTCCATCTGAAAGCGAGATACAAATTTCCTTAGCATCCCGTTTTCTCTCTATTTGATCTTGAAGACATCGGACTTCCTGGTGGCGACCTTGATGGCACCAGCGTGTGCCCTCACAAAAGAGTCTGCCAACATGGCAAACGATCTATCGAATTCGGGGATAGGTTGCGATACCACATCATGGCCCACTTCGACAATGTTTCTCCGAATTTCTTCAGCAAGACGAACTCAATTTCGTCATCCTTCAAGTCATTCCCTTTTACAACACAAATATAAGCGGTAATGTGCTCATTGGGGTCCGTGGTCCCGTTATACTTCGGAACATCGGGATTTCTGAATTTCTTTGGGATGGTCTTTGGAGCCGCACTTGGTGGGAACGGTTTCTGCACGAACTTCTTTGAATCTACACCCTTCAGAATCGGGGATGCGCTCGGGATCTGATCGACCCTCGGGTTATAAGTCTCAACCTTTTTATCGTTAGCCTCTATCTTCTTTTATCCTGATTCAATCCTTTTGGCGAGGTCTTCGAGCATCTTTATAATAGCGGGGTCTGCTGTGACCCGTTGTTACTCGATCTTTCTGGTGCCTGCTCGACTCGAAGAGCCATTTCCGGTGCTGCTGTGCTAGGAGTTTTTTGTTGACTTTGTAGCTGAGCAATAACCACTTGTTGTGCTTGTAACATCTCAAAAATGACTTGAAGGCTAACTTCTCTTTCCTCCTGAGCTGGAGTCCCCTGTGCTTCATGTTGGTTTTTCCCCGCGCACACTTTCGTTGGTATGAGAGCTCACATCGATATGCACAGCGTTGCGTGAGCCCACGTTGACGGGGATTTGTGCTGGTGCCACCAGGGTTTTGCGGTGGTACACCGGCATCTGCACCGTTCTCACCATGAAGCCCAACACCATTTTTTTCGTGTACATTTGCTGAGTTAGACATTTTTTGACCTGAAATCAAAGATTCTTAGACAAGAAAAAGCGTGAAGAATAACTTGTGTTTTTAAAACTAGCACCAAAACAATCACTATTATTTTTAGTCACACGGTGGGCGCCAAACTGTTTACTTGAAAATGGTATTAACAATTATATTTAATTTTGTGGTTCTAAAAATACGTGATTTATTTCAACACTAGTTGTTTAGGCAATAGATTCTAAATGTAAGTAAAGAGAATGAGATATGCAAACCAAAGTTATCACAAGACTGAGCCTCGAGCTGACTGGAGCAGGGGCTTTGAGGTCCAGCTAGGGTAGTTAGCGATGAACAATTAATGGAGGAACGATGATAATGGAGGCCTCAAAGATAACCTTTTGCGGTTAATAATGAGCAATAGATGAAGAATGATAAACGAACAATAAATGAACAAGCAATAAATCTGTAAAATAATTGTTGAACTCGATTAGGCAAGAAGAGCAGAGAATGTTCTATTGTAGCCAATATTCGTGTCCCTTACGAAATGACAAGGGTCCCCTTTATATAGGAGGGGGGATCCCAATGTGGCACATGCCTAATAATGACGAGGAAATGCTATTGGTACAACTGTATAATGACTCAGTACGGATTTGTACTATTCTTGCAGACCTGGTCAGCTTTAACCACGTGCTCTTGGGAGCTTTCCTGCCTTTCCATGACGGTCATCGATTTGTACTGCTCCGAGATTGACCCTCGATATGCTCCCTCGAGGGACGCACCTCGGGGTCACACTTCAAATTCCGCTTCGATCTTCTCGATGTCGGGCGTGAAATGCAAAGAAGCCTTAAAATCGGTCTTCCCTGATTTTGACCGTATACAAGTATATAATATATTTATACTATGTTTAATATATAGTTTCTTTAAGTATATTGCATATTTTAGGTAGAAAGTATATTGTTTTATTTAGATATATATATATATATATATATATATATATATATATATATATATATATATTCTATTATTTATTAATACTTTTAAATATATACCTATATATTACAATATATCTATATCACTATGTAAATAGTATACAATATACTTTATCATATATCAGTTACATGCAATAGTGCAATTACTTAATGAATATAGACACATATGTTCTAATCTCTCACCTATTTTTAATGAAAGCCAAAGCACGTTTTTTAAGAGATGATTCATTATATTTGAGTTGTAGTAAATTTGATTAGGCTAAGTTTTAGGGATTTAATGATATTTTAAGAAAATAATTGATTGTAGTCAATTCAATTAAGCTTAAATTTAGGAGATGATGAAGATTTGATTAAGTTTGCTAAATTTTTGGGATTCTAATTAAATGAGTTTCGTAGAGATAGAAGAGTTTTTTTTAAGCTAAATAATTATTAATTGTATAAAATATTATACAAAACGTGAATCAAAAAATAATTATAGATGATGTAATATACTCTAAGAGAAGTTGTATTTACGAAAATTTCCCTATACCTTAAATAGGACGGGTCAACCCAACATGCATATCGTGAAGGCAAGAAGGATCGAAATCTCAAGGAAAGTAGAATTTCATTTACTAATTATTTTCAAGAAAGGAAAGCAGCATTGCTCCGAAAGCAGATTAGGAAGTAGTCCCTCCATTCACTTTTATTTGGCATGTATACTAAAAATATATTTTTATTTTTACTTGTCACTTTACTCATTTCTAGAGAAGACAATTTTTTTCCCTGTTACATCCACAGTATTTATTACTCATTTTAAATTATTTTCTCAAATCCAATAAAATATGCATCAATTAATATGAGTATCATGGTAAATTATATAATTTATTTATTATTTTTTAAGGACGTGAAAATTCAAAACGCGCGATATAAAAGTGAACGGAGGAAGTAAATACTATCCGCCTTAAGATTAAGAAAAAGGGAGTCCGAAACTTTTTTGATGATTTTTTGGACACAAAGCACATTTTTAATGTTAAAAAAAAAGTTACACAAATAGGTAACTCGCGGTATTATACTGCGAATTACTTTACCGAAAATTTAGCCGTTAAAGTAATTCGCAGTATAATACTGCGAATTATTAAAAATTATTTTTTTATGCAATTCGCAGTACTATAATGCGAATTGCTTAAAATCGGGACCCAGTCTTCTTTTTTACAAAAGGTCTATTTC